GTACCATTAACCATTTTGTTTGTATCGTTTTGCTTGGTATAGTCACAGATGAGCTTTTCATTTCGATATTGAATGTTTGACAATACTGTAATGACCAAAAAATCATATTACTGGTGCATTCACTAGTTTCCGAACTCACCGTTATTAACCGTAGAGTGCGCAAAAAAACCAGTGATTTTTTTACTATGTCGGTATTTCAGGTCACTTGCCACGAAATCCTGTAAGATGCTTGGTCTATTCATATACCTCGTCTGTGCAAAAATCATATTGCTGTCGCATTCACTAGTTCCCCAACTCGCCGTTTTTTAAACGTAGAGTGCGCTAAAGAGCCAGTAATTTTTTATTATGTTAGTATTTCAGGTTACGGGCCACGAAATCTCGTAAGATGCGTGGTCTGTTCATATATCTCGTCGGTGACCCAGGCATGGTATATGACTAAACAGTGCCATTGACCCAACAATATCATGTATCTCATCTGTGTCCTCTTCCGCCACTGTTAAACTCGTTTTAAAGATATTCGCGCCTTCACACGAACAAAGTGGGGTTGCCATTTATTGAAGTTTTCTTTTCTGCCATTTTAATTCCAATCGGAATTGAAAAATCATTAGATGGCAGCACCAATCATAGACATGTAGCGACATCTTGTTTATTCAATTGTCTTATCAAAAGTTACCACGGAGATACCAACAAATTATTGGTTACTAAGTTACAAACAAATTGTCAAGAATATATATAACAGTTAAGAAATTAATAAACAGTCATCATTCATCCATTATATTTCTGTATTATGTAAACGTTAAAAATAAAGTATAAAATTTCCTTTATAGTACGGTGACTTTATCATTTATCAATCATCGTATCTACAGACAAAAAGCACTATAATGTGTAATGAAGATACATATATATGTATCATGATAGACAAGGAGCGCAATAAGAGGATAAATTTATGCTACGCGAATAATGAAGAGTGCAACAGTGTGTGTCTAGGCAGTAATAGCGATTAGTTCTACTATTTCACCGCTACGTGGCGCTATAATATTTTAAGGTTCAAATTTTATTTGTAAGAAAAGTAATTAATAGGATTAATAAACTTTTATGATTGCTTCCTCCAAACTTCATCAATTTCCATTCTTTATTCTATTTAACGGACGAAATTTATTGATAAAGATTTAAAAATTTTACGCGTATAAAGCGAAACGTTCATAATTGAATGATAAAATATTTAATTGTAAATTATTTAATTGTAAATTGTATTGTGAATTTCTTGAAATTTATTAAATGAACCAAATCTTTAAAAGCAACTCACTCTTAATTGCATCTCTCTCTAAAACTTCTTTTACCGTTATTTTCAAAAATTAAAATATAAGTGAAATTTACAAAATTCAGAAACTTCGTTTATTTAAATATAAAATGAAAATAAACAAGTGGAGCTATAAATAAGCAAACAAAAATGCAAATAAACAAATGAAAAATAAACAACCTTGTCTGCGATTTAATATTCTTATCTATTTTATTTTTATCTATCCATTTAGTGTTTAGTCAATGATACAGTCATTGAGTTTATCCTACACTAGATTAATAACATTGGAGATGATACAAACGGTGATATAAGGGCAAGTATATGATTTCTAATTATGAAGTCAATGAATAGATCTATGTAATGCCTTGTCTATGGTAGTTTAAGTAACTGTGAACTAATGCAAAAGTGTTCGAATAATAATATTCGTGTGTGATTGATATAAAAATATAATTTATCATTTTTAAGAATTGACAATGCGAAACGTAGAAATAAAAGCAAAAATTGATAATCCAGATCTTAAAATTTTTCGCGTTATGCAATTAACTAACCACAACGGTATCATAATGAAACAGCATGATACTTTTTTCAAAGTTACAGAAGGAAGATTAAAATTACGAAAATTCGAAGTATGAAGTTAATTTCTGTACAATAATAATGCTTATACTTTTATTTTGTATATTATATCAATGAGAATTGATTCATGACATAATATTTTTGAATAACAGAATTTGTCATACAAGATTCCAGAGAATAAATAATTATACAGTTTTTAATTCTTGTTTCTATTTCTTTTTCCCTATATTTGTCATTATTAAAAGGAAAAAAAAATAAAACTACTAATGAAATTTTAATAATGAATAATATAAATGCAATAAGAAATATACCTTTCTTATATAGGATGGTTCAGGAGCATTAATTTATTACAAAAGATCTAACAAGTTTGGTCCAAAGCTTTGTGATTATGAAAAAGTAGCTTTGAATGAGTCTGCTTGTAGTCGCATTGCAAATATTTTAAGTGCATCTAATGGTTGTATAGGCACTGTAAAAAAGACTAGAAAAGTATACATGATTGGTCAAACTCGTGTACATATTGATAATGTTGAAGGTTTAGGGAATTTTTTGGAATTAGAGGTTTGTATTATCAAAAATATGGACCATTATCCAATTATATTTGAAAAATATTGTACTAGCATTATTATTTTAGGTAGTCTTGACTGATGAACAGGACACAGAAACTGGTGAGAAGATTGCTCAGGACTTAATGTCTAAATTAGATATAAAAAGTGAAGATCTGATAGCAAATGCCTATATGGATTTACTTAATGAGTCTATTAATGGAACTACTAGTGAATCTATTAATGGAGCTACTAATGAATCTACTAATGAATCCAAATAATGCTAATAAAATGTATATTTTTTATACTTTCAACTATTATATTTTGTATAATAGTAATAAACATTAAAAAAAATTTATAAGAAACAAGCATTTTAATTTCATTTTATAAAATGAATGTTCAGTGTTACGTTTATTTCAATGTCAATCAAAATAACAATTTTACCTAAGGACTTAGATAAAACAAAGAATTTTTTTAAAAATTAATATTATCAAACATATTGCTTTGTTAGTTATATGAAAATAGAGATAAAGGAACACGCGTAAAAGAAGAACCAAAAGTAAAGAGGCAATGGTACGTTACTATCATAACCGGGATACGTTAGTCTGATAAGCTGCCCACACTACTCTTCCTTCCTTTTCGATGATCACATTCGCTTGTCACATTTTGCGTGTTCGAGTTCTACTTCATTATTGCATTTCTATTGCAAGGGTCATTGTACTCCTTACTTCTATTTTAATTTTAATTAATTAATATCTAAGAATGATTACTTTAAACTTTTTTAAAACTGAAAAAAATATTTTTGAAATTTAATAATAAAGTTGATTATTTATTATAACATTGTAAATATATTAATAAAAATATTTTATTTTATTAGTTCCAATTATTAAAATTGTGCATTTCTTTTTTTAATTAATTTTTCTTTAGAAAAAATATAAAAAGTTTTACACTCTTAGAAGAATAAAAAAATTGAAATTACATGCGTACGTATAAGCTTGAACAATAGATACTAAAGATTTACTTATTAATATTTATATAATATTTGAATTTATTTTAACGTGTGTGACAACTTTCGATGTTCGCAATTGTAGAGTTAAAGTTGTAAATTTGAAGGGGAAGCTGGACTTTTTCAAAAGATTGCACCCATTCGTTTCTGTAGAAAAGACCTTCGATTATAGTGAATACATACTTGGAGGTACTGGTCAGTCTGACCTGCCAGCTATAAACCAAGCCGGAGAAAGAAGTAAAGGAAAACGAATACAAGTGTGCTGCACGTGTGAACTGTAGCCAATGGGTTGACGTAATAGACATTACTGCACGACATGCCGACTGGCTTGTGAATGCTACAGAACATATTGCATATCTCTTATTTATAAAATATACTACTACATCACCAATAATATTACATTGTTACAAAATATAAAAATAGCATTATTGATGTTCGAAAATATCATTCTTGTTCACGTCTATTTAATTTAACTTTTCAATTTTTACGTGACAATGACTTTTCTCTTCCTTCTAACATAACATAAATATTTAATGTTTTTATAAAGTAACATATATGAAGATATACGAATTATACTAAGAAGATTATACGAGGCACTAACTTTACAGACAGTGGTTCATTGTGCTATGTGCAATTGTCAATTTCTTCATTGAACCTCTTCATTTGCGGCATTGAAGTTACAGAAAGTCGTGCTTAATATAAGTAGTATGAAATTAACAGCTCAGAATGACTCAAATATTTTGGAGAATATATATGTACGTATATGTCGTTTTATCTTTGAAGGTTTGTTAGAGATTCAATTAATTTGAACACTTTCGGTTGAAACATACGTAGAGCTGAAATTCCAAAAAGAAAATGTTTAAACACCATTCGTAAAGCAAATACTCAGATCTAATTAAAAATTTAATCATCCTACATGATTCATATACAATCATCACAACCATTCAAATTAACAAATACATACGCAACATTTCTAAATCACTTATCCACGTATTATATTTAAGTCAATCATAATGAATTCCACTCGTCAATCTCTCTCAATTTAGTATCTCTCCCTCGAAATCCTTCATCCATTAAATTAAACGCCCAGGATAATCGTCTGTATTAATATGTCTATGTCTACTTGTATGCTCTAACATTAAAATAAATAAAAAGGAGTATCTTTCTTGATTTCTACAAGTTCTTTTGTATTACAAAATAAGGGTAGACACAGTTTTATTAGAATAAATATATATATTTTTATTTAGATTTGTGAATGTATGATTGAGGATGTATGTATTTTCATTTTTACAAATTCTTCTGTATAGCTCACTTTAATATTAGATCACACAAATAGGAAGACGAGTAGACTAATCAAAGAGGACAGTTATCCTGTGATCCTCGAGAGAATTTCTCTCTCTCTCTCTCTCTCTCTCTCTCTGAACGCCCCCGCATTCGTTCCCCTACTCCGTTCGCGTTCTAAGAAACTCCACTTCGCCCCTCGACCTGTGTCAGCATCCTCTCGTCACGAACTGGCAAAGAAGGGACCTCATTCTACGTACGGCACTGGTCGTTGTCGGAGGTTCTCCTTACAGAGAAACACCGGGAGAGAGACGCGTCACCAGAGAGGCGTCCGTGCACACGGCCTCTCTCGTTCATAAATCATCTCGTTGATCGTCACGTTATATCGCGACGATCGAGTGTACTCTGGATCGTTGGTTTTTCGATTAGTTAACCCGTGTCGTTCGATCCTCGTTGTGAATCTATCGATCAGCAACACTACTCTCGTGGCAGGTAACACCAAGTTAGGTAAGATGTTTCTCGCAATTCGTTCTGGCTCTCTTTCTTCTACTCGACGTCGCTTCACTTTCATCACAGGCATTCATTCGTCTAACTACGTGAAAGCTTCAGTATTCTTCGAACGACGCGTTTCTCCACTTTTCGTCGGGCAACAGTGTGTTAGAAAGCTGACTGATACGAGAGCAAGCCTGTGTGCATATATGATATGTGAGTGTGTATGTCTCACGTTTGATTAGATGCGGTTTGCAACTCGAGCAGGTAAATAATATTACTCGTTGACATTGTTCTTTTCGAAGAATTTGACGTTCAATATCTTTCGAGATAGAAATTCTTGGTAAAGAAAGCGTGATATTGTACGAAGATAATGAAAATCATTTTTACGTAATCTATTAGTTTGTTTGGTTGAACAGCCTTCGATTCTGGTTTGAATTTGAAAATTTTGGATTTAGGATGTAGTTTCGAAGTGATTACTTGCAACGTAGTCCAGAATTTTTTGGAGCAACGATTAGACGGTAGTGTAATCTTTTTGGAGCAAGGATTAGGCATGCAGATTAGCATAAGATAATTTAAATATAAAAGAGATATTATATTTTAAATATAACATAATACAGATAATATTTATATATGTTATATAAACAATACATTCTATATAATATACGAGAGTACAAAGTCTGTACAAATAAGAATTTAATTATATTATTTAAGATATTCAATCCTAAAATATTCAAAATGAAAATATTCATTAAATAGAAACACGTAAGATTATGTGACATTTTTCACAGGTTTTTCTGACAATTTATCAAACGTTCCAGAACTGTTTGGTCATTGAACTGCGCGCGATAAATTATTTGCAAAACTAAAGTACATTAGTAACGATTCCTTTAGTAACGCGAATATTACTAATCGAAATACTAAAACGTTTATCGTTTATAAAAATGTTATAATAGTTAATGTCTTGATGCCGTAGTTAAATCATACAC